CAGGTCGGCTCTATCGACCGGGAAGTGAGCAGAAACATGCAGCCGATCCGCTCCCCGCAGATAGGCAGAGCCAGCTGTCACTCTTGCAGCTGGGTGGATTTCAACTGTATTGTCGGGATCTGTTCCGGCTGCGGCGCTCTCAAGGCTGTGACACACTGCACATGAAGCAGATTGGAGCAGTGGCGCGCTGCCTCCGCGTCCAATGTGTCATGTATTTTTCAGTGTGTCGTGCAATAGCCCGCAATGTACTGAGCTTTGGGTCAGGGGAGGAGGTTAGTATATGTCCTCCCGTGACCCTAAAGGGAACTATGGGGAAAAACACTTACCCCATAGTTCTCTTTTAAAGATGACTTCTGGGCGCAAATTTAGGCCCCTTTCAGATGGGCGGTCCGAACAAGTCCCACTGCGAGTTGTTCAAGTGGATCTGATCAATGTAAGCCTATGGGCAGCCAAATCTAAATGGACGCTTGTCCGTTTACATCTGATGACCCAAACTCTAGCCACGTCCAGAAAACCAAACAGAACAGAGGTCCATTTTGGTGGACCTGACTATGATGGAGCGGGTACAACCTGACGTAAACACACACATGTCCGTTTACATGCGGTTCCCCATAGTCCTAATATGGGTCTGGTAAGTTTCGTTTTTTCCTCCGTTGTAAGATGTAGAAAAAAAACTGGATAGACATGGATGTCACAACAGTGACATCCGCGCCAAACTGCTCTGATCAGCAGGGTATTCGTGCACAGTATGCTGAATTTTACTTGATTGCTTCTTACAATCCCTTATACAGCAGCACTCAGATAGGGAGAAGGATGGGGAAAGACTGGGAGCCAATCAGGTGAACTGCATGATGGATGACCTCACCAGTCTGCTGCTCCTCTTTCACAGACTGCAGATGCAGAAAGGGCACAACTGCATTCCCAAATTGTAAGGTTTGTCATCCCCTGGCTGTGCAAGGAGTGGTGCAGATCTCAAGACGGAATGAACAGAAAGAAAAATCCCATGCCAGATAAAATAGTTCCCATATAGTTTTTATAGAGATGCCACCAAGGTAGACACTGAGTGAGAGAAGACTTCTTCGCCCGACATGAACATTTAAAAAGGAGAACTATGAGGCGAGTGCTTTTCATTCATCCTCATAGTTCTAGCCGACCTGTGACAATGAGACTATCACAGGTCGGCTCAGTAGATCGGGGAGTGAATACATACCGGCGTTCGCTCACTTCTCGATAATGTCACGGCGGAGAGCTGTGACAGGGGAGGGACTGGATTCCACCCTCCCCGCTCCTCCAGCGCTGACTGGCGGAACGGACGGGGCGGGTACAGCTGGCTCTGCCTCTAGATAGGCAGAGCAAGCTGTCACTCACGCAGCTGGGCGGATCCAGACATAATTGTCAGGATCCGCTTCAGCGTCTCAGTATACCGCGAGCTGTAGCTCGCGGTATACTGAGCTTAGGGTGACGGGAAGACGCTAGTTTGTGTCCTCCCGTTACCCTTAGGAGAATTATGGGGGAAAGCCTTAACCCCATAGTTCTCCTTTAATGCAAGCACTACTGTTCTATTTTGCTGAATCAGAGAAAGACCAGAAAAAAACGAACAAAAAAGAAGAAAACTGCATTAAAAAAAAAAAAACAGACCAATCAATAACTTGGTGGCCAGCAGACTTTATGATTGTATTCTTCATACAGATGGCCACACAATGGTAAAATCATATGTTACTTAGTATACAGGTTCCTTACATTCTGCAGCACAACTTACCGGCCCCTAGTTCTAGCCTCCATGTTTCTATTATTAATACCTGCCAGGAGTATCATTACTCCCTATGCAAGCATGTATGCCATCATAGACGTTTTAAGTGAGGAATTACTTGCAAATCCGGTGAGTTAGATCTTATGTCTATGGTTACTGAAGGATGACACAGCCCCAAAGCATGCACCTTCAAAACAAAATGTATATACAGTAAACTCCCAATTATCCGGCATTCCAGCAAATAGCAAAAATAAATATCGAGGACACACAGAACTGTGCAAACGTTTCAGGCAGGTGTGAAAAAATGCTATAGAGTAAGAATACTTTCTGAAATAAAAGTATTCTAAGTTTATTTTCCCTGATGGTATGGCATGATGGATATGCATCTGCTTGTATTTTTCAGCATTGAGGACACCATTGGCAGAAATGCAGCCCCAGACTTGCAAGGAACCTCCATCACATGCTTCACTGTTGCCCGCAGACACTAATTATTGTACCTGTTTGCCATTTTTCTGCACCCCAGTTCCTATGTTTTCGTGCATAGTTGCTTAAACGCTTTTCCAGGTCAGAGGTATGGTTTCTTGGCCGCAAAAAAAATGGCAGCAGTTGCTCCGGACTGATGAGGCAAAATAGAAATATTTGGATGTAAGAGGAGGCAGTTTTTTTGCCGGACGGCTGCAGGGTGGTGCAATAATGGAGTGTCTGCAGCAACAGTGAAGCATAGTGGAAGTTCCTTGCAAGTCTGGGGCTGCATTTCTGCAAACGGAGTTGAAGATTTGGTCAGGATCAATAAATAGTGTCCTCAATGCTGAGAAATACAAGCAGATACTTATCCATCGTGCCATACCATCAGGGAGGTGTGTGATTGGCCCCAAATGTATTCTGCAGCAGGACAACGACCCCAAACATACAGCCAATGTCATTAAGAGCTATCTTCCGCATCAAGAAGAACAAGATGTCCTGAAATTGATGGTTTGGCCCCCATAGAGCCCTGATCTCAACATTATGGAGTCTGTCTGGGATTACATGAAGACAGAAGGATTGGAGGCAGCCGACAGCCTCAGAAGATCTGTGCTTAGTTCTCCAAGATGTTTGGAACAACCTACCTGCCAAGTTCCTTCAAAAACTGTGTGCAAGTGTACCTAGAAGAAGGAAAAAAGTGGTCACACCAAATATTGATTTGGATTTCTCTTCTGTCCATTGATAAAAATAAAACTATTACCACTCTTTTTTCTGAAAGCATTCTTCCTTTACAGCATTTTCTCACACCCGCCTAATAATCTTGCACAGTATTGCATGTCCTATATTTATCGGTTGTTTGGTGCACACAAAAAATTAGTTGGCAACTAAAATGTATTTAGTTGCTAACAAATGTCTTTGTTTACATCTTGCTGCTGGCCAGCAGCTAGATTCCACGGTCGGCAGCAGAACGTAAACAATGGGGAGAAAAAGCAAGCCTGCTATTGCAGATTGGAGGGAAGGGGTAACCAAACCGCCCTCCAGCTGTGGTGAAATGATAAATCCCATCATGTCTCTGCCTCTGGGAGTCATGCCTGTAGCTGTCAGTCTTGCAATGCTTCATGGGACTTGTAGTTTCACCACAGCTGGAGGGCCGTAGTTTGGTATCCCCTGAGTTACACGATACTGGACATCCTCCAGCCAGGAAATGAGGCGGCCCTATGTGACAGTGAAACATTTCAGTCCAGGAGGAGTTTGTACACCTGTGTGAGATGGAAGGGGAGGCGGGGTTCAGCGCCCCGGGGAGGATATAGTTTGTTCCAGCTTCCACACTATAGAATTGTATCTCATCCTATTTCTGGATGTGACACGTCAGGAAGATCTAACACTCAGTCGGCACAATGCCAGACATGGGAAGAAGAGGAGGAGAAACATCTCACATGATGGGTAAAGGAGAGGAAGAAGAACATGGCTCCTTGCAGAAGACAGAGGAGCAAAATGATGGGGGATAGACCAATAATGTGATGGTTAAAGGAGAGGAAGAAGAATGTGGCTCCCTGCAGAAGATAGAGGAGGATGATGATGGAAACGTACATGCAGGAAAGAGGAAATCTGGATAGTACAAGCAGGAATGGTACTGATGACAAAGCTTAGGGCAGAAGGAGATCAATGGGAGCGATGTGGAAGCTCAGCACTGCTGTGTTGTCAACTAGGGTGAGATTGGCAGAAGGAGGAGGATGATCACAATGATAGGGAAGTGGCAAGGAGTATGATCATGATGATGGGGTGAAAGAAGGACAATCGTGTTGATGGGGGAAGAAGCTGGATGAAGTAGGGAGAAAGGAGGATGATTATGATGGGGAAAAGGCAGCATAAATATGGTGGTGGCGGGGAGGAAGCAGGGTACGAGGAGGATGATGGGGAAAAGGCAGGGTGCAGCAGGGAGGAAGGAGGAGGATGATAATGATGGTGGTAAAGGGGCAGAAAAGATGATGATGTTAGTAACGGTGAAGAATCAGGGTGCAGCAGGGAGGAAGGAGGGTGATCATGCTAATAGGGAAGAAGCAGGGTGCAGCAGGGAGGAAGGAGGATAATGATGATGGTGGTGAAGGGGCAGGAAAGATGATGACAGTGGCGGTGAAGAATCCGAGTGCAGCAGGGAGGAAGGAGGATGATCATGGTGGTGAAGGGGCAGGAAAGATGATGATGTTAATGACGGTGAAGAATCAGGATGCAGCAGGGAGGATGATCATGGTGGTGAAGGGGCAGGAAAGATGATGATGTTAATGACGGTGAAGAATCAGGATGCAGCAGGGAGGATGATCATGGTGGTGAAGGGGCAGGAAAGATGATGATGTTAATGACGGTGAAGAATCAGGATGCAGCAGGGAGGATGATCATGGTGGTGAAGGGGCAGGAAAGATAATGATGATACTGACGGTGAAGAAGCAGGGTGCAGCAGGGAGGAAGGAGGGTGATCATAATGATGGGGAAGAAGCAGGGGGAAGGAGGGTGATCATGATAATGGGGGAAGAGGCAGGGTGCAGCAGGGAGGAGGATTATGCTCGGCGCTCAGATGGATGATGACATGGGCCGGGGTGAGGAGGAGGATGGTGATGGTGGGGAAAAGGCAGGGTGGGTGATCGGCGCTCAATAGAAAGATGGAGGATGATGGTGGTGAAGAGGCAGGGAGGAGGATAATGGAGGAAGAGATGGGCCGGGGTGAGGAGGAAGGAGGCTGTGTCAGGCCTATGCCGGAGCTCTGACACCAAGAAGCAAAATGTCACATTACCCGTCCCTGGCCCGCCGCCTCCGGCTCGTCTGTCCACTCCCCGCCGCCTCTTCTGCCCGGATCACGTTAGTAGCGGCGGCCTCCTTCTGCCTGTATCACACGGCCCCGCGATCCGCCACACCCAGACCCCAACCAACGGCACCGGAGAGCAGGGGGGGATCTCTTCCAATGGCTTACTGTAGGAAATGGCAGCTCTGCGATCCCAGCCCGCACATCTCGGCTCTGCCACCTCCTATGAGCCCTGCCTGATCTCCACCGCTCCCAGCCCGAGTGCAGACAGGCGGCGCGGGAACCTGACGTCTTAACACCCCTCTGCAGGCGAATGGTATCGTCCGTACCAAGAGCACGGACCCTACCAAGTAACGCGGAGTGGAGGAGAAGATACAATACAATACTGAGCGCTTCCTTCCAGCATCTTGTCCTACCAGCATAGAAGGACGTGTGTTTTCATAGCAACTGCTAGTACTGGGATTGTGAAGTTCCAAGAAGACAAATAGAGATGATAGACGAACAGAAGGTGAAGAATAAGACCCCTCCATACTCGTGTGCGTGATAATGCAAGCGCTAAAATTATAAACAAATGGTGCTGCAACAAGCATAGCGCTGTACATTTAGGCCTCATTCACACAAGAAACGTCCGGCACATACAGCTCCGTGCTGCGTGCACGGCCGTATCAGGCAGCTCCCGGGAAGGACAGGTGCTGCGTGTAATTAGTACGCAGCCCCCGTCCTTCTCTATGGGACTACTCGGCCGTACGCCGTCCTACACTCACCCCAAATGCACGTCCGTACGGGTGTGTGGGTGTTCCTGTTTGGCCCCAGACAGGATCCATCCTGTCAGCACACGAGTACAGACGTGTAGGGCGGCGTGTGGCCGCGTACTCTCATAGAGAAGGACAGGGGCTGCGTACTAAACACACACAGCCCCTGTCCTTCCCGGGATATGCCCGTCCACGGAGTTGTACGTGCCGGCCTGTTCTCATGTGAATGAGGCCTAAAGGATGAGTGCGCTTTAAAGCAGAAGTAGTTTGGTATCTTCCACAAAACAAACTTGAGAACACCTCAAACCTCTTTAGTTCAGCCAATGACTGTCAAATGCTCTGAAGACAAGTATTTCCTTTGTGTGTTGGTATAGGCCCCCGCCATCTTTATTGCGTCATGGAGTCTACTTCCCCTCACCCTTCTTGCACTGAACTTTTTTTTTGAAGCCTGCGTTGCATGTAGAAAAAACATCATAGTGAACCAAAAAGTGCTTGTGAAACACACAAAAAAGTGCACTATGGTGCAACAATTGGTCCTTCTCCCAAAGAGACATGGCCCTTCCCTGACCCCCGGGGCGCAAGGCTCCTGACGGGCAAGGCACTTGTGTCCGCCTGGCCAAAACCAAACGAACCCATTCCTCATGGTCAGCTAAAGACGACCAAATACTAGCTTGGGGGCTCTCTTGAAGAAAGACCTCCAAAGTTCAGGGGAGGAAGGAACCTAATGGCCACACATCCTTCCCCTAGACTTCGGGCAAGGCCAAAGACCCGCACCCTCTATCCTGTGGAGTGAAACAGGCACACAAAAATAAGTGAAGTGCAAAGACAAGTGAAGAAAAAAATTAAAAAAGTGCCAATGTGCAAAACAATTGCTAGGCCTTGCGGCCCGGTGTGAAAGAAATTCCCTTGGTCTTAGCCAAAAGGCCTGGCTCAAGAGGCGTGGAATGAAAGGAGCCAAGCCTTGCTTTGAATATGACTGCAGCAGTACATTAGAAAGGGAAGTGGCTCTTTCCCAGCCCTGCAATGTCACTAGTAAACACAAGACATGTGATGACGTTGTCCCGCCATAGGCGCTGTTCATGGCACGGCTAGAGAATGTCAAACGAATTGCACAGGCACTTTTTGCAGACGGGGATAACAACAACAAATAGTATGTAAAATATTCTTTAACCAATTAAGGACCGAGGCCTTTTTTTTGTTTGCATGTTATAATCCACATTTTATGCATGAAAATTACTTAAAACTCCCAAACATTATATATTTTCTGAAAGCCAGGAACCTATAGAATAAAATGTTGGCAGTTGCAAATTTTTATGTTGCATGACATTAGCGCAACTTATTATCAAACCCAAACATTTTGTGAAAAATGCAGTTAAGTTAAATTTATTGCCACAAAACACGATATAAAACCATTTTTTGGCAAAAAAATATAAAAGATGAGGTTACAATGAGTAAATAGATACCCAACATGCCCAGGTTAAAAATTGTGTGCGTCCGTGAAACTGTGACAGAATTCAGTACCCCAAAAAGTCCATACACAACGCTTTAAAATCTTTAATTGCCATCACATAGGGGGACTTACAAGCCCCCATGTGATAGCATATTGGTGGGGACAGGTACTCCGTAAAGTGATGCTGGGGGTCCAAAAGACCCCTAGTATCACCTTTACACTCTAAATAAGCTATTGAAGTGCACATCGCACTTCAATAGCTTATTGCTGGGCTCCTGAAGCTCAGGGACCGGAAGTGATGCAATACGCTTCGTTCCTGGTCCCATAGAACGGGGAGGAGATTGGTGAACGGATGTTCGCCGCTGTCCTCCCCAGCTTCCCACCGACACCTGAGATACTGGGCCTGTAGGAGGGACAGCGGAGCTCGGGAAACACAGTGGGGGTGTCGGGCGGGGGGGTGGTTTGGCGTCCACTTTACTGGATTGTAGAAGCGATCTGGCAGCAGTTGAGCCGCCAGAATCGCTTCTACTCCAAAGCCGGCTGACAGTTCTACAAATATGAACAGAGTCCCGACATGAGTCTGTTTAACCCCTTAAGGACCCTTGACAGAATTATCCTGTCATGGGTTGTGAAGGGGTTAAATTAGGATAGTGTTGGCTTTACTTCCTCTTTAAGACAAAAAGCACTTATCCTTTATGACCCTTCACCCTGACCTGATCTAACCTCCAGATGCATATTTACCTCGTCCAATGCTTGTGGCCTCCAGTTATTGTTTACATTCTGATCTCACCTGCGCATTACAGCTCCATAGGCTTTTATGGAGCCGTCTGTCTTCATCTCCGGCTTAGGGACACAGCCAAATAGAAGTCTATAGGGCTATAATGCGCAGGTGCGGGGGGAGACTTGTGGCATTGGATATAAACAAACACCAGAGGCTGCGGCTGTTCGATTGATAAGTATGCAGCTATGAAATGGAAAGGCGGATTAGGTTATTTTAGGGCAAAGATTATGAGCGCATTTTGTCTTAAAGTGCATTTATGATTTTACGGGTTTGGCAGGAACACACAATAACGCAGTGCACAAGCGTGCAGCCTGCCTAAATGATGGGAACAACATAAAAAAAGAGTGCAGAGTTTGGAAGAGAAAAACGATTACTGGTGAAAATAAATGAGTCTTGTAAATCACAAAATCTACCTCCCGGAGGAAGACAGCGGCGGTCTCGTGTATAAAAAGGCAGATATAAAGAAATGTGGAGATTTTGACTAATAAAGTGCAACTGCATGCCAGGCGAACCCAGGACTTCCTGCTCACGGATAATATTATAATTAGGAAAGGAATAATAAGGCAGACAGATTTATATCAGAAAAGGTGGCTGGCTACCTTACTTGCAGGTGATTGGAGAACATTCTCAGTTGTTAAAGGAGAACTATGACATGAGTGATTTCCACTCACCTCATCGTTCTAAGCCGACGTGTGACAATGAGACTGTAGATCGGGATGTAGACTCAGTAGATCGGGAGGTGAGAGAACACATACCGGGTTCCCTCACCTCTCGATCCTGTCACGGCTCTCTGCCGTGACAGGGGGAGGGGCTGGATTCCCCTCTTCCCGCTCCGATCTGCCAGCGCTGACTGGCGGAACGGACGGGGGAGGGGGCGGGTACAGCTGGCTCTGCCTCTAGATAGGCAGAGCCAGCTGTCACTCACGCAGCTGGGCGGATCCCGTCATCTACATCGGGATCCGCTCCAGGTGCGGCGTCTCAGTATACCGCGAGCTGTAGCTCGCGGTATACTGAGCTTAGGGTAACGGGAGGACGCTAGTTTGTGTCCTCCCGTTACCCCAAGGAGAACTATGGGGAAAAACACTGACCCCATAGTTCTCCTTTAATACTGCAACCATACAGCATTCACATCTCTGCAAAAAAGTGCACCCTGGAGGGACAGGTGGTGCATGCAGCCGCCAGTACAACTCAATGACGGGACGTGGCTCTGTGCTGACCTGAACTTGCACATCCATACTGAGCATGCATCTGCACCTGTATGGATGTGCAAGTTCGGGTTGGTGTGCAGCCGTATTCTGTCATTGAGTTGAACAGGCGACACAACTACACGCACCAGCTGTCCCTCCTAGGCCCAGGTTTTTGCATGGACGTGCAAGCTGTACGGCTGTGCACATTTGTGTGAATGAGCACTTTTAATGATCGCTAGACTGCAACCACTTGCCAGGATCATCTGCCATTGATCTGACACTACTGAGCAATGCTGCAATTGTGTTTGATTACATGCAGACAATCTTGGCAACACACAAGTGACTCGTGATTTCTATAGAAGTCAACAGCTGGTGTATTTAGCAATTGATTGCCGAAATCCATAAATCAAACACAAGTGAATTTCCTTCACACAACCAGAGCTGTATTTTTGCAATATGTTGTCCTATGTGCACATGAATGATGACATTTATATACAAGTTCTACCCCTAGTGTATGCATTTCATAAAAGTGAATACTAGAAAGTTCTATTACAGGAAGCATGCCCACTGCTTTATATTCACAACTACTTTTTATCTTTAGAGACTAACAAACAGGGGAAAGGAGAGATAGTTTCATATTTCTTGAATGATCGTGAATCTTCAAATGCCTCCCAAAAAAATATTAAAAATGCACATTATACCGCATGTAAAAACACACATGGACTAGTGTGAATCAAGCCTAAAGTAATGACCAGATATGACAGAGAAGATCAGTTCAGTAGGGTGCTGATTGCTCATTATATTTATGGAAAAGAGAACAAATCTGCACAAAAGCTATATACGTGGGCAAATGAGGATATCGGACATCTGCCATCAAGCAGTTTGATGAGGCCACTTAGCATATGAAGGTGAGAGCTGTCAAAATATAGACTGATTTTTGGAGGGAAGGTCTAAAACAAGTTGCCAAGCATGTGTAGCCATGAGTACATACACCTTAGTTATGTCTTAGGTACATTGTGCCTCATCTCTATGAGCTACTGCAAAAACAATTCATCCCCACACAGCCACCTCCTCATGTATCACTTGCCCCTCCCTTTTAGATTGTAAGCACTCACGGGCAGGGCCCTCCTTACCATCTTGTCTTGTGATCGT